GTAAGATAAAAAGCCAACAATGAAGAGTAAATGTAATATAAAAAGCCAACAGAGTGAATGTAAGATAAAAAGCCAACAATGAAGAGATAGTGTAATATAAAAAGCCAACAATCAAGAATGAATGTAAGATAAAAAGCCAACTATGAAGAGTGAATGTAATATAAAAAGCCAACAATGAAGAATGAATGTAAGATAAAAAGCCAACAATGAAGAGTGAATGTAAGATAAAAAGCCAACAAAGAAGAGTAAATGTAATATAAAAAGCCAACAATGAAGAATTAATGTAAGATAAAAAGCCAACAAAGAAGAGTAAATGTATTATAAAAAGCCAACAGAGTGAATGGAAGATAAAAAGGCAACAATGAAGAGTGAATGTAATATAAAAAGCCAACAATGAAGAATGAATGTAAGTTAAAAAGCCAACAATGAAGAGTAAATCTCTATATATAAAAAAGTCAATTTCTGTCTGTCTGTCTGTTTCGCGATAAACTCAAAAACTACTGAACCAATTGGTACCAAATTTTGCATGTCGCTTTTTATAAACCTGAGGAAAATTTTCGGCTGCATTTTGATTAATATTTTTGGCTATTTCTTTTTTTCATTTGAAGAACTTTTTTTACGCGGACTAATCCGGAATGGAATGAATACCTAAATATGGCCATTTTTTTAAGCATCGGTGGTTCAGTGGTAGAATGCTCGCCTGCCACGCGGGCGGCCCGGGTTCGATTCCCGGCCGATGCATTTTTTTTTTTTAAAACTCATTTATATTATCTTATCTTATCTATATATATAAAATTGAATGTCTGTCTGTCTGTCTGTTTGTCTGTACTCTATAGATTCAAAAACCATACATCCAATCGCCGTGAAATATTGGGATATTATTAGGTATATCACCGGGAAGGTTTTTGAAAAATAATTTCCTGAATATCTTGAATATCCTTAGAGTAATTTGCAGATTTGTAGATTTAACTCGCAAGCAGCGCCCCCATTGTGACGATGATAACAAATTTTCTTATCACTAAGAGTGTTATCTTAAATATTATTTATCAAAAGTAAGATTATCTCAGGATGACACAGCAATGTGACACGGGAAAAAATGTTCACTAGATAAAACTATGATTTTCTAATGTAGAAAATTAGGAAACACAAAATTCAGGATGACACGGCACACAGGGACCGGGAAAAAATGTTCACTTTATCGAGAGATTCAAATTTACGAGTTTCAAATTATCAAAATATATCTTTTTTTTTTAAATAAGTTTTTAGAGAATTGTTTTAACAAATGTTCGCTAGACAAACCTTTACTCGGGTTAAACCCTGGGCGAAGCCAAGTACGTTTTATAAGTTTATAGAGAATTGTTTTAACAAATGTTCGTTAGACAAACATTCACTCGGGTAAAACCCGGGCGAAGCCGGGCACATCCGCTAGTATATATATATATATTATAAAAATAAATAGTTGTTTACTTTTGTATTAAAATTATCTTTATTACTATATAAATATATAGAATCACTATTATATTTTTATTATATAGGTTTTACACTATATATATATATTAAACCATTTTAATGTGATCATTGGAGTATATGTGACGGCTTAAAACACTTTATACCATTTTCTGTGTTCATTTGAGTATATTTGACGGTTTGAATGACATAAAACTAATTTCTATATGTTTATTTGAGTATATTTGACAGATTCACATATTTTGAGCCAATTTTTAAATTTTCATTGGGGTATATGTAACAATTATGGAATCTCAGCACTACCTTCTACCAGCAGCGTTTCAATACACTATTAAACTCTTACACTCACGGATTTACATTTCTAAAATAGGTATTTTTCTAATGCTGGAATTTAAAATTCTCAACATTAGTTTTGAAAATATTATCAGAATATTAAAATTAATTTTTCAAACATTTAAACAATTTCATAATTCATAATCTATATAATTTTACACAAATAAATTTCGTCAAACCGCTGAGAGGGTTCACTACTGATGAGCCAAGCCCTCTCATTCAATAACTCATATCATTGCAGTAAGGTCTGTAGACATAATATTTGATGATATTTAAAACAAGCGCATTGCCAGTAAATTTAGTTGTGTAACATTTTAACGATAGATGGCAATTAAATTTAATTTATTAATCTATATAATTATTATAAAAATACTGTTTTGAAATAAGGACTGTTCTTTTTTTATATATCTATATGGTTTATTGAAATATATAGAGTTTTATATTAAGAGTCATTTGTTTTGGAGAGAGACACTCAAATATTCTCATTTGAAAGTAATTTACATACCATTCTATATAAGAAATAAATATTTACATGATAAAAATATATTTTATATAGAAATGGTATTGATGGGAATTTTTTCTAAAGTGTGTGTTTATGAAAGGCAAAATTTTCTTAAAATAAATCTTAAACAAGTGACGATTGAACATTTTTAAAGATTTAAAAATTTTTCTTTTTCAAAAGATTAAAAAAAGGAGGGGAATTTACAGAATAGGAAAAGAAAGTGTTGTTTTTCCCATACGATGCAGAATTCCATTAACTTGAAAAATGAGAGGCTGGTATAAATTTTATAAAAGAAACTATCTACTCAATATTCCTCTATCGGAAAAGGTTTATACGATATTTAGCAAATCAATTCTTAACAATAACTTGCAGATAAGTTTTTATTCACAACGGTGTGTCGACAAAATTCTTTTGTAAACCTTAGAATTCAACTAAAAATCTATATGTAGATAGATTTTAAAATTCCCATTTAAGATTTCTTTCGAGTTTTAGGAGTGTCTCTAATTCCTAACACTATTTTATAGCAAGAATAATTATATATAAATAAATATTAAACAACATTTAATAATAGAAATCAATGAAATTAGGTATTTTGTTGTGTAATACTCTGAGAAATTTGTATAGCTTTTTCACCATGTATCGTAATAATCCCGAAATACAATTTGATATTTTCCAATAGATGGCCATCTGAAAATGCTCATTTTCATGAATGATCAGGATAAACCTTTTTTAATTCAATATAAACATCTGATCTTTTATATTTTTTCTTGTTTTATTTTCACATATTTAGGTTAAAAATTCAAATTTAGCTTCAAAATATCCATTATGTTATATCTCAGGAAGCCTCTTGCCCAAAATATTTGGTCGTTGAAGTACAGTATGCATCAAGATGAAGAGAGCTAATATCCCTATATTCATACGTGGTTGGATATTCTTGATTTTAAAGGAAATAGAGGTTGGCTAAATATCATGAAACAAACATACAATTCTATCTTGTATCAATAATACTTCTCATAAGATTTTGTTTTTGTGTAGTGACCCTAGAGACCCGCTGGCGATTTTCCACCAAACTCTGCAGCGTTGGCAGAGGCGCAATATACATATTCAATGTAAATAGTTTATATCTATTTTTATTAATCAATATGATCATTTTAAAATTATTCATTCCATTTCCATATATAGTGCGGACTGCGCACTTTTTCATGTACAAGATGTCAATAAATCTATTATAAAAAATAAATTGAAATTGTTCTAGGGGCGTATGATTCTTTCCAAAATTAAACAATTTTCTACTGCTCTAACTGCTATGATCAACTATGTTAATTATAATTGTCTTTAAATCTAAGGTATACAATTTTAACGATATTGTGAGTATAAATTTTAAAGTAGTTTTTATATATTTTGGGCCAAAGATAATTTATATTGAATGGCACAATATCGACTTTGGTAGGGTGCTATTAAATAGACTCTTTTAAAAAAGTTTTATTGCCCTTTATATATAAAGTGCTCTATTGCCTTTACGATATTAAATTTCTATTTTTTAGTGTAAAATCTTCAATTTATTTTTATTGCTGAACTATCGTGAAGCCGTATTATATATATATAATCTCAGTGAAGTTCATTTCAAATTTAAAAAGACAAAAATTATAAATTATTTTCTTTATACTCGTATATGAAGATATCAAATATAGTATACATTAATTATTATAAGGCATATACTGACCAGGAGAACATGTGCCTTTTCATTTATTTTTCCTATTATTTTTCACATTAATTATAATACAATATTAAATATTATTTTATTATTATATTTATTAAAAGAAGATTTGAAGCATTTAAATAGTATTTAAATTTGATACTTAATCATATATACAATAAATTAATGGCTTCATAGATTTGAAAGCTTATAATTGAAAATATACTCGTTATATTTTATTATAGAAAATCCTCAATGCATTTTTCAATAAATAACTCCTGACGAAAAATATATATTTATAAATATATTTTCCAATTTTTCTGAAAATATTCAATATGCTTCAACCTAAATAACTTTACTTTCTACCCATACTTTCGCCATTTTATCCTCTAAGGTTGGTCTTGGCGTTTGTGATTTTACTTTCATAGGATATATATATTTCTGGTATATATATAAATAGATAGATATTTCGCCGGGAGAGAATATTTGATCTATGCTTAGATGCCTATATATATATGTATGTTATATAAAAATATATAATTTGAAAATATCATTTCTAGAACAAACTACTTTGTAAAATTGACCGCCAGATGTCGCAGCTTTCCCTATATAAACCTATTGGTGTTGTTTTCGCGCTTCTGGTGACCACCAAGGCCGAAGCTGTCCAACTCTCGCCAACCCGCGCACGGCCAAGTGCGCCAAATGCTCAGCCCAGGGCATCTCTGCCGACCACGAGGCAAGATAAATGTCTTGCCCACTGCCAGTGCAAGAGCTGCATAGTTCTAGTCCTTCCGCCTTCTTACTGCCTCCTGACCTCCGCGGACACAATCCGGCCTAACCTGACTCTTCCCTGACGGAGATCCTATCCCTAGCCTACCCAGCCTGGTCAAAGCGATTTGCATATATTCCGCTCTACGCGGCCATTGGGGCTCAAAAATAATTTTATTTTAGTTAGCAGACCCGTAAATAAATATATTTCCATTTCCCGTTGGCTTTTTGTGAGGTAGCGTGGCAGAGCAGTCTAAAGCGCTGGTTTAAGGCGCCAGTCTCTTCGGAAGCGTGGGTTCGAATCCCACCGCTGCTACATTTTTGAAAAATCATACACTTAGGTTAGTGGCTCTTGAAACCATATTCTCTCTTTCTTTCCCGTTGGCCCACTCAAATATTTTTGAAAATATGTAAATATATATATATATATATATATTTTTTATGCTTCAAATCAGGTATTTCATCCTTACTTATGTCTATCAGCACAATTATTATTATTTTATTTTGTATTTTGTATTTTTGATTGTAATTCAACCTTTATTTTTATCATTCTTTCCACAATTGCATAACATTACCTGATATTAATGTATACCGAATAAAGCAACAGCTAATAGTTCTCTATATCAAATATCAAAAAGCAAATTCTATATCAAATAAATTTATCATTATAATTATATATATATATAAACAATAGAAAAAATGAAAAATAAGTGGGTCAGGTGTTGATATTAAATATAAAAAAAGGTATATCCTGAAAAGGAGCATACGTGCTTTTCAGAAGGCAGAGCGCCATCTGGTGGAACAGAAATCAACTAATCATTGATTTAGCCTGTTCCCTGATATTTGGCCAACCCAATATTTTGATAATTCAAGAAAAGCCATCCACGAACGCGTTTCGCGCTGTTGGCGCTCGTCAGTGTGGAGTAGGCTGTACCACTGCGACCAAAAATAGTTTTGGTCCCAGTGGCTTCTTGATAAACCAATAAATGGGTATTTAAGTCCGAACTTGCGTAAGTACGCTTAACACATGAAAAAACAATAGGAAAAAATAAATGGGTCAGGTGTTGATATTTTATATTTTTGATTTTTATTTTTAATATCAACACTTGACCCACTTTTTTTTTCTGATGTTTTTTCAGGTATTAAGCGTATTTACGCAAGTTTGGCCATAAATACCCATTTCTTGGTTCCTCAAGAAGCTACTGGGAGCAAAAATATTTTTGGTCGCAGTGGTACAGCCTACTCCGCGCTGACGAGCGCCAACAGCGCGAAACGCGTTCGTGAATGAATTTTCTTGATTTTTCAAGAAATTGAGTTGGCAAAATATCAGGGAACAGGCTAAATCAATGTTTAGTTGATTTCTGTTCCACCAGATGGCGCTCTGCCTTCTGAAAAGCACATGTGCTCCTGGTCAAGATATGCCTTTTTTATTATATATAAATAAATAACCATATATAAAATAACCAATTTATTTAACGAATTCATTAATGACAAAACTTTCTACATTAAAATTATTCATAACAGATATAAAACAATTAAATTAGATCTTAAAACAGCAAAAACTCTACTGGAAACATTTTTAAATTTTAATTATAATGAATTTAAAAATAAAATATATATTCAATCAGAAGGCGTTCCCATGGGAACTTCATCAAGTCCTTTATTAGCCAACCTAATACTATTCTGGTACGAAAGAGAATACTTTCTACAAAATAATGTTAATTGGCAAATGCTCCGTTTTGTAGATGAAATTATTATATTTAATAACCCACAGTTTAAAAACATAATACCTGAAATATATCGTAAATACTTGAAACTTAAGAACAATGAAAAAATTAATAGAAACAAAAAAGTTAACTTTTTAGACCTAAATATAAACCTTACAAATAATGCTATTAAAATTTATAATAAACAAAAAAATTATAATTTCAATATTATAAAATACTGCAATATAAATTCTAATATATCATTTAATTGCTGCAAAGGTATATATTTTGGTCAGTTTCTAAGATTTCATAGAATAAATAATATATTAAAAAATTTCATAGAAGATGTTAAAAATTTAAACATGGAATTTATTAAAAACAAATTTAGTATTAAACAAGTAAAATATTTCAACAGTATATCAATTATAAAATACTTTAAAAAAAATAAATGGAAGTATCCATTTATTAAATCAACTTTTTATAATTTCTCTCAATAATAACTAATACAAATTTATAATCTTTAACAGTTAATTAAACTTAAATTATATAACTAATTTGAAAATTTTTCACAAGATTTTTAAAGTAATATTGTATAGAATTCATTTTATTTAATCTCCAATTTCTGGGGAGGAAAATGGAAATTAAATAAATATGAATTTTCAAAATTAATAGCTTTATTAATCATCTAATAGTGTACCTTTTTAAAGGAAAATTAAAAGATAAATAATAATTGAATCAGTTATATTAATATAACTAACTGTAAAGATTATAAAGTTTGGCTTTCTTCCCTTAACTATTTTCTTTCTTCTTTAGTTGTCTTATAGATCTGAAATTTCAGAGAAAGCAGTCTAATTTTGAAAGGACGAACATGTGTCCCCCCCGCAACAGATGTCAACCAGAAATAGCTGTTTACAGAGGAAGGCGTCACAGACGAGGTAGGTTACAGTTAGAATTTCTTAACACTTGTATTTGTTAAATCTGTGCATATAAATGTTTCACTAAAACAACTTAATATTAACACATAAAATCCGGTTTAAGAGAGATCTATGACATAATAGAGCAGGAGTGAAATGTCGCTGGATTTCTATTTGAAAATCTCTGGTCCAGCAGATCTCTCTTTCCACTAATTAATTCATTTTAATTTTTTTTGTATATGTCTGGTCTACCATTAGGGTTTCAAAACATAATAACCAAACTTATAACAAAAGTTAATAAATACAAATAAATAAATACAACTAGATATATTCATATTATAAAATAAAAAAAAATAAAAAATCATAATAAAAAAAAAGGATAAAATATAAAATTATAAATATATATATATATATATACTAACAATCTTATCTACCTTCTTTACAATTTTTTTTTATTATTATTAGTTTGAATAAAAGTGCATGGTTCTGTCTTTCTCTCTTTTCTCTAACTACTAAAATTTATACTATTAAATATATTCTCACTTCTATTATTCTATATACAAATTAGAGTATGTCTAAATGACGTGTAAAAGCCGATTGCAAAAGACGTTACGTTGTTAAATTTTATTGTTATTAATTATAAATATATATGAATGATGTGTAAGAAGTAAAGAATTTTTTTTTCTCTCTCTCTCTATTAAATAATAACAATTTACAAATTTTATAATTTGAATTTATATAATCAAAGTAATAAAGATAATTTTAATACAAAACTAAACTATAAAACTAAACAACTTTTTATTTTTATAATTAATTTAGATTTAGCTTGCTAATCTAATCAAATCTACTTGATATAAATTATCATTCTTATCAGTTTACTCTTTAAATTTCAAATATAGAATCACTATTATATTTTTATTATATAGTTTTTACACTATATATATATATATATATATTTAATGGCATTTTCTGACCGCTCACATGAGACCTTTAGATGACAGAGCGCCATCTAGTGGAACAAAAATCACCTAAACGATGATTTAGTTTGTTCAAAACAAATTTACCCAACCCAATTACTGGCTAAATAGATAAAAGTCTACCAGATTTCGCGTTTAGGGCTCTATGCCCTCTTCATTATTGTGCAGACTGTACCTCTACGACCAAAAATATGGTCGCAGAGGCTTCCTGAGAAATCAAGAAATTGGTACTTTAGGCCGGGTTTGGGTGAATACGCTTTTCATGTGAAAATATAAGAAAAATATATAAATATTGTCAGGTGTGTTGATATCAAAACACACACAAATATCATTCTTTGGCCGCTCAATCAAGCAAATTACTGCATATGGCAGAGCGGCCAGAAAATACCATTTAGTTTTTTTTAAATCAACACCTGACCATTTTTATCTATTTTTCTTTTTTTTCAAACATATATATATTAAAAATTATGAAGGCATATTCTGACCAAAATCACAGGTGCTTTATTATAGGTACTATCAAAATAAAGGCATATATATTGTCACAGTTTCAAATAAGAATTTTATTATTCAATTGATGCACTTTGTGAGTGATGTTTCCCTCACAACAAACTAGAAACAAGACATTTTTACAGTTACAGAATTTACACATACCTTCCTTATATAACATTAAACATAAAAGTATTTATATATTTACTAATTGAGACATTTGCTTTATATTTTCTATAAACAAATTTCTTTGCAATATTATAGAACAAATATATTTATTTAAAACAAAATTCGATATTTCGACGAGACCGTTTGCCTATCTTTTTCTAGAAAATCGAATTCCTTGCAAGCAAATCATCCGCGTGATGTACCAGAAGGGTTTTTGTATAACATATGCTGGTGTGTGACCAAATAATTTTGATTTTTAAATAAAATTTATCCAAAATGTTCTTTTATTTTAATGTATCAAAAATGGATTGCTCGATATGTCCATAAATGTTTGTGTGTGTGTGTGTGTGTGTTGTGTTTGTGAGTGTGTGTATTTTTGAGGTTTTTCTATCACTGCTATCAAAATATTCTGAATGCTTTAATTTATTTATCTTAACAGCTCTAGACACAGATCTTTTTAATCAATATGCAATGATCCATTATGAATTCATTGCAGATATTATATTTTGACCACTCATTTTCAAATGAGTTGAATAAATTATATTTCAATACAAAATTTATATTTTATATTTTTCAAACTAATACAACATTCAATATTTTTTCTGAGAGATGTACCAACCTTCATTACTCCTGATAAATACACTATACAGGCAAATACAGGCAAAGGACCCCTGTGAATGATGTCTAGATGTTGAAACACCAGAGAATCTTTTGTTGGCTTGCCTTCTGACTAACCAAATTGTTCTTGCTTACTTTGACATAATTCCAAATAGTCTTTCTGTATATATTTACCAATCTTATGAACACTTTGGCAAATTTAGAGCTATTTGTACACAGATTTATAAATCGCTATTAATGCATCGTGTAAATAATTAAAGATATATATGTAAATAATTCTAATATAGCACAATAGTGTGATAGACCTCGCGCTTTGGTAATAATGAAATAAAAATAACACCTAAAAATTTTTTTAAATTATAAATTAAATTAAGAAATCTGCAACAAGGAGATTTACAAACATTAATCGAATTAAAACTGTATTCTATAATATCTCACTAATTTTAT